GGGACATTGGTTTAAAGAGGGTTATGCCGCACAATGAGGGATTCTGCATAGTTTTTTTTATTGGGAGTACTATCGTCTTCTTGAGTAAATATGCCTGTCAGGATACCCTCGATTTCGGCGGCGCCGCTGTCTAGAGCTTTGTTGAACCCCGCGAGGCAGGGTGGGTTGAGGAGGCATCCTACAAGGCTGTTTACTGCGACTGCGAGGACGGCAGTTGTTAAGCCGTTTTTGCTGGCAGATATTGGAGAAGGTGAGCATTTTCTGTCTTTTGGCTTGTTTTGTTTGGTTATTACGCTTGTCAGTGAAGCATACTGACAGTTACAGGTATCAGAGAGTGTGAGATCATCCAATGGTTCGTTGAGCCCGGAGCGCGGGTCGAGGAGTTCGACAAGATATGTGAGGTCCAGAGCGACAAAGCATCTGTGGAAATTCCATCGCGGTTCTCAGGTGTAATCAAGAAGCTTCACTATGATACTGGGGAGATGGCAAAAGTGGGGAAGGCGCTCATCGACATCGATGTGCCAGAAGAGGTCGCCGAGGCGGTGGAGCAGGCAGGTGCTGCACCACTAGGCGGTGAAGCAGGTGCAGAGAGTGTCAGGTCTGAGGGTTTAGCAAGCACCATCCAGCCTGATACCTCCTCAGCTCCAGCACCGGAGGAAGTAAAGGCATATAGTGAGAAGCCAGTGGTAGCCAAGGGAAAGCATGCCACGCTCGCAACACCAGCAGTGCGGCACCTCACCAAGGAGCTCAAAGTTGACATCTCAGACATCAACGGCTCCGGACGAGACGGACGCGTAACAAAGGACGACGTGCACCAATTCGCCAAAGCCCGCGACGCAGGGCAAGCCGCTCCAACACCCCAAGCAGCAGGCACCGCACAACTCGCCCGCCCAGCACCAGACCATGGCCCACAGCAAGAAACACCAACACAGCTCACCAACATGCAAGCCCAGATGTTCAAAGCCATGACCGCCTCCCTCAAGATTCCCCACTTCCTCTACGCCGACGAAATCGACGTCTCCTCCCTCTTCCACCTCCGCCAGCGCCTCAACAAATCCCTCGCCAAGTCACCCCCCGCCGACGCCCAAGTCACAAAACTCTCCGTCCTCCCTTTCCTCATCAAAGCCATGTCCCTCGCCATCGGACGCTACCCAATCCTCAACGCCCGCGTCGACGTCGGCGCAGACTCTAAACCATCCCTGGTCATGCGCGCACAGCACAACATCGGCATCGCCATGGACACCCCCCAGGGCCTCCTCGTACCCGTAATCAAAAACGCCAACGCCCTCTCCATCCTCTCCATCGCCACCGAGCTCGCGCGCCTCCAAGCCCTCGCCAAAGCCGGGAAACTCACCACTGCCGACTTAACGGGGGGCACCATCACGCTGTCCAACATTGGGAATATCGGCGGGACGTACGTGGCGCCTGTGATTGTGGAGAAGGAGGTTGCGATCTTGGGGATTGGGAAGAGGAGGACGATTCCGGCGTTTGGGGAGGGCGGGGAGGTGGTGAGGAAGGAGGTTATGAATTTTAGTTGGTCTGCGGATCATAGGGTTGTGGATGGGGCGACGATGGCGAAGGCGGCGGAGGTGGTGAGGGGGTTTGTGGAGGAGCCGGATATGATGCTTGTGCATTTGCAGTGAAAGGTGGTTGGATATGATGGGTGTTTACCTACATTAGTAGGGAGGTTTTTGATATGAGAGATGTGCATCTGGAGTGATGAGGGGAGGTTGGGAGATGATGGATGGCATCTGATGGGAGAGAAGAGACTCAGCATATGATGCATCTGTACCTCAAATGAGGGAGAGCACATTGGATATGATAGACTCGAGAAAGCCTCGATGAGGGCTCGAGAGGGTGGTTAGCTGCTGCATATGTGGTGTTCAAGGAGGTAGATTGTGATATATACTGTCTGATGTTCGCCACAAGAATAACACAAACCTAACTTAAACCGGTTCATTCAAATAAGTGTATTTGAACTCCTTTTTTAACTTAATGTGTGCATTTATCCCCATAACCCCCAGCATCTTTAAATCAAGCATTTTCGTACTTTTCATACCTGTAAATATTCTTCTTCTCCGACTCGGACGCAATAATCGGCCCGCGTACCGCCCCACCTTCGGATTATTCCCAGAAACTGGGTCGCATATGCCCCGCGCACCGTCTAAGTGGGGTAATTCATCCCTGCACACAGTTAACACTCCACCCCCCACGCACCGGCACCTGCGTGGGATGGTATTCTAGGGTCGAAAAAAGAGAGAAGGCTTTTTCGCGTTACGAGTCTGTCTGCTTACACGGCTGTGGGAGTCTTAACTATATAAGTATGCATTCTAATAAACAGGGCTGTTATGGGGGGTAATATGTGCATCATAATATATGCACACGACTCCATTGGGGGGTATGCGGGTATGGCGCACGACAGGCATGCGCGGCAGATTGGCCGGCTGCATTGCGTCGTGGGGAAGCACCACCACCCTCCATACACAAGTAATAACAAACGCCCTACGCTCGGATACGATGGGGGATAAATAAATAAGGAAATGAAAATACCCGTCACTTGACCCCCCTCCTCCACCAACCAACCACACTCATATTTTGCCGCCCCCCAAAAGCGGCAAATATCCAATTATCCCTCCTCCCTCCCTCCTAGACTTTCTTCTCCTCCCCCCCGGGGCTCGATCAGCCTCGGGCCCCGGGCGGTGTGTTGTGTGGGGGCTAGCCCGTCCCACCCAGGTGTTCTCTCACCCTACGTCGTACCTGTCTTTACCCAAAGGAGTGTGGAGGGGTCCCGCACTAGGGCGGCAATATAAGGGTGACATCACGCCTCTCGCCTTTTCTTCGAAAACGGTTTTTGGGAACTCCTCCTATTTCACTGCTCTCTTCTACTCTGTTGTCTTTTTTTCCGTGTGCTTTTGGAACTGGAAGTCTACGTTGTTGTTGCTGCCTCTTTTTACTACTTTGTAGGGGGTTTGAGCCTGGGTTTAAAAGGAAGCGGCGGGAACTGGATGCGCGCGTGCGGCTGGTAACACGAACTTTGACGGCTGAGAATCAAACGATCTACGACCTGTCGTTTTTTCCTTTTCCTCTGGCTCTAGAAGTCTTCTAAACTCATTTATACCGAACGACATTTACACCTCTCCTCTTTCCTCCGTCCCAGCATCAAGACCGCTCTCAGATCGCACCACTCTCACCCTGCCGAATTCGGAACTCTCACCCACTTCTCACCTACCTCCTGCTCTTGAGACTACAAGACTCGAATCCACGCCCTCACACCTACGATCCCCAAAATACCACAACCAAAATCCAACATGATGGAATCCATAACCCCCCCCACCACGCCCTACGCCTCCCCCTCCTCCGGGCCCTCAGCACACAAACACATCTGGCTCATCACCGGCCCCGCCGGCTGCGGAAAATCGACCGTAGCCTCTCACCTCGCCACAACCCTAGGCCTCCCCTTCCTCGAAGGCGATGATGTATGTCCTTCCCCCCCTCCCCTCTCCCTCTCCCCTTCTCTCCCTTTCCCCCAGTCCTTCCCCCCCTGCCAAGCTCCCAACTGACACAACCCCAGTACCACACCCCCGAAAACATCTCCAAAATGGCCACCGGCACCCCCCTCACCGACTCCGACCGCTGGGACTGGCTCTCCGCCCTCCGCACCGCCTCGCTCTCCACCCTCTCCCCCCCCAGCCCCCCCTCCCCCAGCGGCGTCGTCGTAACCTGCTCCGCCCTGAAGCGCAAATACCGCGACGTCATGCGCGTAGCGCCCTATCACGATCCGCGGGTGTTGGTGCACTTCATCTTTTTGTCAGCTAGTGAGGAGACACTGTTAAAGAGGGTGGAGGGACGGAAGGGACATTACTTTGGGAAGGATATGGTGAAGAGCCAGTTGGAGAGCCTTGAGGTGCCGGTGGGGGAGAGGGATGTGGTGGTTATTGATGTTAGTGTTGGCAGAGAGGAGATCGAGAGGAGGGCGTTGGATGTGGTTAGGGAGGCGATGGGGGGGGAGAGGGCGAAGCTTGCCTGAGCGGGAAGTTTGCTTGAGCTGAGCGCGAGGTTTGCTTGAGCTGAGCACGAGGATCCTTTGGGTGACAGGCAGCCTGGATGTGGGGAAGTGGAGGCGCATAGCCTGGCTGGGCACATATCAAGTGCCGCCCAGGCTGCAGGGAAATCCACCCTACGCACCCCAAAGCCTTGTCACCCGCACTCTTCTGGTTCTCGGAGAGGCATCTCCGCCGCATCCCCCCACGCATATGGGTGCGTTTCATTGGTCACATAAACATGGCGTTGGCGTTTTTTGCAGCATAGATGGGCGGGGATTGGGTTGGGTTGCAATGGATATGTATATACAAGATGGTTACACAAGAGATTTTACCTTGTTTGAGTGTTTGAGTGTTTGATTGCTTGCTTTTGGTCTCGTGTGTTTGCAACCGGTGAATCTGTGAGGGCGTGATAGGTGAACCGTGCGCTCGCTGGCACCCTGGGGGACGGGGGTTGAGTGGTGTGATGGATGGCCGGTGTTGCATATCTCGGACCGGGCGGGAGGCGATGGAGAGTGCCGACGGGAGGGTAGTGAGAGGGGCTGCCGATGTTGAACCTGGTAATAAAGTTGGTACTAAATCCCTTTGAGATCACGAAAGCAGGTAATGGTTCATGAGGTCTATCTGCCGGCCTGTGTCACTTTGCGCGGTTCTCACACTATCTTTCTCACTTTGCTTGCTATTTCATGCCGTCTTCGAAGCAGCATCTCTCGCAACCTCCCGTACTTCCCTCGCACATATCAGGAGCACAGCTTTGTCCTAACTGATGTGGGCGCGCATAGATAGTCCAACTAACAAGGCAACTATAAACTTACATGCCGTAGGTTAAGCTGTGTATTAAGCTGCTATATATACCTTTATGGACTAGGTTACATTATTGCTACGAACCTTGCGTCAAATCGAGGCGGAAAGAGAAGTGCTAGTTAGCAATGAAAGATGCAGCCTGGTCTTCAACCCCACTCCGAACTGGTGTATCGGTAACATATCCGCCTCTCACCAATTCGAAAGAATAATGAATCCGCGGTTGCGCGGGGTTCGACTCCCCGGTTCGGAATATTTCAGAACCATCTACTCTCAAGTAGACCAGTCTATTTTTATTTTTATTTTTTTAGCCGATCCACACACACCCTTCGATCCTGTCAAGTAGAAAGTGAGAATTGGTTTATGGGCAGGGGTTTGTTAGAGATGTTGTTTTAATTTGGGTTTATTGATTATTTATATTATTAGGGCTGTAGTAGGAGTATTGTATGTAGAGTTGAACAAAACCAATATGAGAAACTATATATTCTAGCAATGCGCGGAGAAATAAAATAAATATATATTGCAATTATGCCAAATACCTAAAATTACTAGACCCGGATGCACAACGAACGATAGATATACCCCTGACATACACAAAATAACAGCAGCAGTGCAGTCACGTCTGCTGGAATACTGTATCGTACAATGACCCCCGTAGACAGTTAGTCCGCTAGCGAAATCTTAATTTATCTTTTTTAATTTTTAATCTCGCTCTTCTACTAGCATCCTCTCTTCAGCGGCACCCATCGTCTCCAGCCCCTCCCTCTTTCCCCCTCGTCAATCCCGGAACGCAGCCTTAAAGACCCCGGGTTCGGGAGATGAGTCCATTGGGCCGCCCTCACGCCGCCCTCCCTCTCCCCCTCGGGAAGTTCCCACGCCCGCCCGCTTGCCTGCATCCACGGCCATCTCGCAACTATCGTCCCGCCAGTCGCAGCGCTGACTCTATCCCCATCGCACCGTGTAGCGCAATACAATATGCTTCGCACGGCCGCGCAGAAGGTGTATCACCGCCATGCCTTAAACGCAGGCATCCCCTCCGCTGCCTCTCTGCTATCCTCTTACAGCATCTGCGCGCCAACGCAGGTCCCGGAACCGCTTAAAGCTCTTCATCCCACTAGGCATGCGACTGGCATCACTTAAAACATCTTACATCTCCTTAACCCCCCCAAGTATTCACCCCCCCCCCCCCCCCCCAACAAAACCCCCCCCCCCCCCCCACCCCCCCAAGTATTCACCCCCCACCACCCCCAATAGCAAACCCCCTCTCGACACCCTCCCCATAGACCTCCAACCCCCTCCCCATCGCGCGCACAATATCAAAGATCTGCGTCCCCCTAAACGTCTCAGCCCAGAGCCTCACGACCGCTGCGCCGAGGGCGCGGATGCGTTGGCCTTCTGTTTCTGGTGAGGAATCCCCTGAGGAGGTAGAAGAGGGGTGCGAGGTGGCGGGGGGAGGGACGGCGTATTCGGTTTCCTCGAGCATGTTGCGGACCATGGCGAGGATGTTGCGCTCGTCTGTTGTGAGGGAGTGCGGGGTGAGGGAGATGGTTTCGAGCCATTTGCCTGGTAACTTATTAGCCTTCCATCCCACTTTACTCCGAAAGCCGTGAGGCTCGGCGCCCAAAAAAATGGAAAAGGGGAGAGAGAGAGAGAAAGGGGGGAGGGGGGGGGGGGAAAAGAAAGTAAAAAAAACTCACAAAGCAAAACCGCACACTCAACATTACAAAGACTATGCTGAATACTCCACCCAAACGTCTGCGTCCTAGCCACAAACGCAATCCCAATCCTAATCGGCACCCCCAGCGCCAACACCGCCTGCTGCACCGCCCTCGCCACCCCCTCCCCTCTCCCCACCCTCCCGCCCTCCGCCCACGCCTTAGCTATCATCACCGGATCCCTCAGCGCTAGGTACGGGTTGGGTGGTAAATCGCTGTGCAGCCTGATATAAGCCAGTCGCAGGAGGGCGGTGGAGTTAAACGCCACCGGCCCCGCGGGCGCTGTAGGATCAAGACTAGACTCAGGCGTGCGTTCCCAGGACGCTTGCCAATTCTTCAGCGCGTGGCTCAAACTCGCGAGGTGGCTAGCAGGGAGGGTGTTGGGTGGTAAATGCGGGTGTGAAATCGCCGTCGTCTGGCGGAGGAGGAAGATCTGTTGGATCAGTGCTGTGATGAGGATGTAATTCCCCAGCGCTGAGGTCGGGGGAAGAGGAGGTGGGAGGTCGGCGGCGGGGGAGGAGGGGGGGTCGAAGAGCCGCGCTAGGGCGGTGAGGAAGGGGATTTCGGAGGGGGGAGAAGATTGCCGGATATCTGCCCATTCTCGCGCCGTGGGAGCTTTCCACTCTCGCGCTGTTTGGGGGAGGGACATGTGGATACTCGTCGAAGCCAGTGGGGAGGGCATATCGTAAGCGATACAGTGGAGATTGAAGAAGCAGTAGACGAGGAACTTAGTACGTTTCTCGCTCTCGATGCGGGCCCATTCTTCCCAGCTCAAGGAGGGGTGAGAGGTGGATGGGTTGGTGAGACCGGATTCTTGGACGAGTTGCGCGAGCCAGCTGCGCAGGGTGAGGGATTCGCGGAGGAGGACGCGGGGGGCCCAGGTGCCGACTGCGACGAGGAGGAAGAGGGCTTGGATTGTTTCAAGGCGGGCGGAGTGGGAGTTGGAGCTGTTGTAGTTAGTATGTGTATCCCCCTTAAAACATCGCTCGTAAAAGAAAGAATAAACCCACAAATTCTCCCCATCATGCGGCTCACTAGCAACCCTCTCCATCCCATGTCCATTCCCATTCACAACCCCATTCATCGCCCCTCCCCCCTCCCCCAAACTCCTCCCCGTAGGCGGCGGGCTCAACCCGGCACTCTCACTCCCACACGTCAGCGGCGGCGACACAATCTCCGCCACCATCGCACTATTCCTCCTCGTCGCCTGCTCAATCGCCACCGCCCTCGCCGCATACCACAGCCCATTCCCGCGATGCGCCTCGAACCGATACTGCGCCCCGATCGCCACGAGCGTCAGCAGCAGCTCCGGCGCGAGCGCAGCCACCGAAAGCGTCGGCACGTGGAGGAATGGCACGTGTTCGTGGAACCCGTTGAAGTACCCCTCGAGGAAGCGGGATAGCGTGTAGCGAGATGGGAACTCGAAGCCCCCTGGTAGAACGGACGCGAACTCGTCGACCTTCGCTTGCATGTGGCGGTGCTCCTGGCTGCTTACTTTCCAGGGTGGAGCGGCGGCTGCGGCGGCTGCGGCGCGGATGTCTTCGCCTGTGCGTGGGTGCTGCGGGGGTGACTGGTATTCTGATGCGATGGAGGAGAAGCGTGAGTCGAAGCGGCTATGCTGGCCCTGCTCGGGCGGCCCACCGACCCGCGCATCGTAGCTCTGCCGTGACGGGTCCGCATAACCCTCATGTGCCTTCGGACGGGACCACGTCGTCCCCCCCTGCCCCTCCGCATCAATAGGCGGGAAGACATGCGAACTGATCCCAAAATCGTCGAGGAAGATGTTATAATCCCCCAGCAGCGGTTGCGGTTGTGGTGCCTCGCTCAGCGTGGCGTGGTGGTGGTGATATGAACCCCTCCGTACGCTGTCCTCGGGCCCGGCTCGGCTGTTGAAGCTCGTCGTGCGCGCGCGCTTGCTCTCGGGCTCGGCGCTGCTGTCGGTGTGGAGGGAGTGGATGGGGGGAAGCTGGTTGGTGTGGTTGTTTGATGAGGCGATGTGGGTTGCTGCGTCGGAGAGGAGGTCGAGCGAACATGGCAGTCGTTGCGGTTGCTGCTGTTGTGGTTGTGGTTGCTGCTGCTGCATAGGAACCTCCTGGGGCTGCCGCGCACGCAGGTCTTGTATCGGCGGATAGTTGGGCTGTTGCACAAGTAGATCCGGATCGATGAGGTTCGGGATGGCGGCTGTGATCTGCGGTCTACTCTGTGCCTTGAGAGCGTTTGCGCGCGCTGCGGCGGTGGCTACGTGGTGCCTATTCGCATCGTGCTTATTCTCATTCAGATGTACCAGTTTCTCATGTCTAACCAAGAGATCCCTAGAATTCTCATGTTAGTCCGGGATGTGGGGGCGGCCGGAGGGGGAGGTTTACCGTCGCCCAAAAGTCTTGCCGCAGAGGCATTGGAAGGGCTTCTCTTTCGTGTGAGTGCGCTCGTGGCGCTGGACGTGCTCGAGTCTGCGAAAGCGCTTCTGGCAGTAGCGACAGGGCAGGGTCTTTGCCTTTTGCCTGCTGCTGGCGTCTGGGTCGGCGTCGGATGCGTGGCTTTGGCTGGCGGTATCGACGCCTGGGAGCGGCATCATGGCGGTGGGTGGGTGTGTGTCGCAGCCAGTTTCGGGAGTATGAGAATGATGGTTTGTGTGATGCTTCGTTTTTGGTGTCTTTCGTGGGGATTTTAGGAGGTGATAGGGGTGATGTGATGTCGCCGGGCCCTGCCTGGTTTCCTTTGCGCAAAGGTGACAGGTGAAAGATGTTCGTTGGTAGTAGAGTGGTAGAGTAAAGTAAGGTTAGTCGGCAGGAAGAGGTACGAGGTAAGATTTCCCCAGATGCGATTTCCCCAGACCACAGATGAGATGGTGGTACATGTACCTGTACTTGTGTAGGTTGTGGTTTGTATCGTGTACAACCAGGGAGCAAGGGGAGGAATGTGGGTGGATGGGGGTGGATAGTGGTGGATAGTGGTGGGTGGTGGGTGATTTCCCCGCTCTCCGACTGGGAGATGCTTGTACCTGGTACTTATTCGCTGTGGTAATGGAGGAAATGGAGGAAATGGAGGGAATAGAGTGGGTGGGATAGTGGGAGAGTACAGTAGAAATAGTGGATATCTGAGGCATAATGGACAGAACAGCGAGATATAGCGTGTATTAGTAGTGTTGTCGTGGAGTGGTCCAGTACGAAGTTGTCGTAGTTGTGGTAATTTAGTCGTAGTTGTCGTAGTTTAGTCGTAGTTTAGTCGCAGTTAGTCGCAGTTAGTCGTAGTTCAGTCGTAGTTCGGTCGTAGTTAGTAACTTAGTCGTGGGTTTGGTCGTAGTTTCCCCCCATCTACAGCCTCGGTAATCGCATCAGCCTTGTGCATTTGGCAGACGTGCATTTGGCAGGAGCTGCGAGTCGTTCTTGCCGTGGCAGTTGGAGTAGGAGGAGGGACTAATATTCCAGTACTACTGTACTTTACATCCCATGCATAAAACACGACGTATAAGAAGGATGCTATTGTTCATCAGCATTGACGATATCATCTTTCCTAGGGTAAATGTGTGTGTGTGTTG